TGTAAAAACGAATTCAAGAAACGTTTTTGAATGTTTTGAAATTAAAAAATTTAAAAAAAAAATTGAAGCTACATGGAAAGAGCATGCTGCATACCTGAGAACATTGACAATATGATTAACACCAAAAAAAGGGGAAATGCTTGACCTTCTAGAATAAAAAGTGCACATGACTTATAAGGCAGAAAAGTTAGCTTATAATTACACTTTTCAACAGCAGTACTTTATTGAGGGGGAAAAATGAAACAACATATTTAAAGTAAGGAAAGTGAGCCAAGGATTTTATACCCAGCAAAACTGACTTTGAGAACACAGGGCACAAATAGTTATCAACATGCAAGTATTCAGGGAGTATTATTCTCATGAGCTATTCCTGAGGAATCTAGTAGAGAATGTGTTGTAAATGACTGAAGAAATGAGAAAGACACCAACATAAGAACTTATACATTAAATAGTTGTCCTGTAGAAATAGGACTAACAGAGGACTAAGGAAAGAGGAGAGAGTATAGTGTCAATGGCTACATGGTCTCTCAGTGTAAATGTAGTAGAACTTTTTTTTTTTAAATGGGAAAAGTAGGGAGAATGTATGCAAAAAAATTTAAATGTTTTTGAGAATCATATTGGTGGTGATATTAGTATTGTCATTCTGAGATTGTTGCTGTGTAATGTGGGATAAAACAGTAACACTGGGATGTTCTAATTCTGTCATTCCCTCTGCTTTTAAGAACCCAGGATTCTCAGAATGAGAGATCAGAGATTCCACTGTTATAGATTGGTGAAGTAAAAGCTGTATAGTGTTGAATTTGCAAAGAAAGTACAATGTAAATTTATGAGATGTTTTTATCTTTGAATCAATATTATTTCCTAGTTCTTTTCACTGAAAAGTCCTAGAAGCTATGTCTAATTTAGCAAAGAGCATCTCTAGTACCCAGATTGTGGTTTTGAAATACCATTTGTCTATAAAAGAAATTAGGGCTTCTTGGAGAAATAAGTCTAGGGCAGGAAGTTTATAAAATGAACTTGGAACATTTTAGATAACAAGGAAACTATTAAAGACTTCTAGGGTCATGTCAAAAAGACTCAGAGCCTCCTACTGGTCAAAATTGGGACAGTTTGACCTTCAATAATGGTAAGAATTGAAACTTATCATATATGTTTAAGTTCATTATTTGATAATGATATTAAAAAGAATTGATCACCTTCAGAGAAGATAAACCAATTCATATCTTGAAAACTGGGAAATAGGGCGCCTGGGTGGCTCAGTCGTTCAGCGTCTGCCTTCAGCTCAGGTCATGATCCCAGGATGCTCGGATGGAGCCCTGCATCCGGCGCTTGCTCAGCAGGGAGTCTGTTTCTCCCTCTTCCTCTGCCTGCCGCCCCCCCCGCTTGTACTCTCTCTCTGTGTCAAATAAATAAATAAAATCTTAAAAAAATAAATTTTTTTAAGAAGGGCAAGACTTAACGATATTGTCTAGTGATATACATTTGGGTGATAAAATGATTTTAACAATGCAAAGAAGTGACAGCTATAATAGCTAATTGTTACTTTGGGGGAAGGGAGAGGTTATGGTTGAGTTGGGACCCATGGAGGGACTTCTGGGGTGGCTATATATATATATAATATATAATATGTTTTTATATATTATATATGTAGTGAAAAAAGATAAAAGAAGATGCTAGCTACCTTGTCCTTTTACTAGATACGGGTTCCTACAGAGCTACTGCCAGCCTTTATTTATCTTTGTGCGATTTAGAAAAAGGCAGACTTTCTTCCAGGCATTTACTGCTATTGGTCAGTAAATTAAAAAATCTACAATGCCTATGATATGAAAGGTGCCTCTTTGATGGTGCCCTTGTACAGTGTACAACTTGCACAACTTTATGAAATGACCTTGAGTCTCTATGTTGGTTCAAGCTCATCTCCATTTGGTGTTTATTAAGGAAAGGAATTTATTTTTTGCAAGCACCATTTTGTTCTTTGAGAAATTTTACTTCAATGCACTTTAGCAATCCAATGAGACAGAGAAAGTGCTTATTCTCACTAGTATTTCTCTTGCTTATTTTAGCATGCAGTATCCCTGAGGTAGAATTAAGTACTTCCTGAGATGTGTAGTATTAGAAATGTTTAAGAGGGCTAGCTTGGCTGTGGAGCCAGGAAATTCTGAGGTATCATACCTCCGCTGTGGCTAGCACAATTTGGACTCTAGACCCCATCTTGGCCTGGTCCAGAACTTGATTCACCATCAGTTACCAGGTTCAGGGGGATAGACCCACATTAGCAGAAGTTCAAAAGATTATGATGTAAGTCAGAATGTCAGTTTACTCATTTTCCATAATAAGAGTAACTGCTAAATGAGCGAGAATACTCATGTTAGCTCTGTTCTCCCTATGAGGCAAGTACCTTTGAAGCCAGAAGGTTGTGTGGTTTGCAAAGGGAGGTGGGTGATCCTAATGGCTGGTGACATTCTCATCACATTCTGATCCACCCATCTCCACTCCAGGGAGATACCTGCCAGCTGGACCAAAACACTTGTGTCAACCGTGTCAACATCATGCAATAGACACACTCACAAACCCCTGCTTTCTAGCTCATATTTTCCCAGGCTCCACATGGAGGAAGGGAACACCTTTCCAGTCAGCCAGAGCATCTGGGTCAACCCTTGTGATTAGTGGCATGACAATTGAAGCAGGCAGCTTACCTCACATTACAAAGAATTTCAGATAAATGAGTCTAACAAACATGGAGCACCTTCCATGGACTAGACACAAAGAGGAACCAGCCATGGTTCCTGATCTAAAGTAGACAGCCTCGGGGCGCCTGGGTGCCTGAGTCGGTTAAGTGTCTGCCTTTGGCTCAGGTCATGATCCCAGGGTCCTGGGACCGAGCCCTGTGTCAGGCTCCCTGCTTGGTGGGGAGTCTGTTTCTGCCTCTGCCCCTCCTCCCACTCCTGCTCTCTCTCTCTCAAATAAATAAATAAAATCTTAAAAAAAAAAAATAAAGTAGATAGCCTGGTAAGGCCAGATTTAAACATTACTTGCCCAGTTCCCCTAGTTGAGATATATATAGATATAGTGTGTGTGTGTGATTGAAACAGAGAAAAGATCAAAGTAAACTTCAGCCTGGCATGTGTCTAAACTATCCAAAATGCAGATTGCTGGGCTTCTGTCTAAACAGTTTTATTGGGTTTCTTTTCCTGGACTTCTGTGTTACAGAACTGAACTGCACCTGAGCCCAATCCGTAAATTCTATTAGATTGGATCAGATCTATCAGATCCTCTTGGATGCAGCCTTATCAGGTAGAAGCCTGCTGTTGGGTTGTATATTTAGAAAAACAGCAGTAACTTCCTTTGAGAGTGGCAAAGTACTGAGAAACAGGACTCTGTCTCTCCACCCTTCCTTTAAAGCCGTAGGGCTATGTGATTGGGTTTGGCTGGGGTTTTGGTTTGTCTGTTCTTTGAGTCTGTCCTAGAACGTAGAACTGTTTCTGGGCTCATCCTGCCCTGAGCTCTGGTGATCACGGAGTGTGAGCCCGCTGCTGTCCCTCCACGGGAGTCACTGTTTTGTACTGTCACAAGCCTGGTGCCTGGTTTGGAAACACAGGATCTAAAATTAAAGAATTCTTTCCGTCCTGGAACTTTGAACTAACCTTTAGAACTCAGATGAGGGCTTGGCGACGACAGAATTAATCTGGGAAGAATTAACCTGGGAAATCGGATGCTCCAAAAGAAGACTTAGAGATCCCATCCCTTACATATATTGGACCTGGAATGGAGATGATTATGTATATTTTGGGTTTAAAAGAGTTTTGTAAAGAAAAAATTTTTTCCACGAGTTTTTGGTTTAATTGCCTGGCAGGGTGGGAAATCCCAACACAACAGTGTGGAACTGGGGCATGAAAAGCAGCGAGTGAGACGGATTTATGAAGCCCATAAATAAAAATGAAACTCATTTCATTGTCCAAATTGAGTAGAAAGGCACAATCTATCCCAATTCTGATAAATGGAAGAATGAGACACACATAGAGGAAAGTTCTTTCCATTTTAATAAAGCAAGATAATGGGTGTAACATAACTGAGGAATTACAGAGAAAAGGACGTTTCATTTTGCCAGATTTTGACCAAAGAGGCATGTTACCCATATCCACACTTCCCCAGAAAGAAGTACAATCCGCTGCCTGTTTAAACACTGCCCAAATGAGCATTTTTTTTCTCTAAAGGCAAACAGCAGTGAAAGGAATGAGACGCAAAGGCCAAGGTGGCAGCCACGTTAGGCAGGAGATTTTCATACTTCTGGAATTTGGGGGATCGCCACCCTCTTCCTCTTCTCTCCTAAGAAGCACACCGGTACTAAACTGTTCTTCGAAGCCTGTTTGTTCCTGCACAAATGGATCAGATAAGACTGCAGTGAGTGCGGACGATGAACCGCTATGTTTTTATAAAAAGGTGGAGGTAGAGTGGCTGCAAGTTGAGTGGCAGGATATCGGTGCTCTGTGGCTCCTCAGTGAGGTTCGGGCCACTGTCTGCCTCCCACTCCATGTTGATTGCCAGCCCCACCTTCTCTGACGTGTCAATTCAGCCTGTTCTCTTTCTAACTAAATGCCTGGGTTCTTTAGATTTTTGGATTTTTGTTTTGTTTTTGTTTTTTTGCTGGGCCATTATCGGTCTCTTCCCAGGCAAGTACACAAGTTAGTATAAATGACACATGCTGTCACTAGTCACAAAACTAGACAGAAGCCAGCAGGCTTGTGAGGGAAAAAACACAGGCATGACTTTGTTGTCTTTGACGTGGAACTAAAGGCTCACTTGTCATTCCTTTAATAAACATTTTGAACCCTTGTCTTGCACTACTTATCCTGCTGGGCCCTGTACACGATTTAAAGATAAATTAGGCCTTCCCCCCACCCCCAGTGATCCCACAACCAATGGCAGTTTTTACTTCCTCAATTTCATCAGCACCCCCAGGTATATTCAATCTAGAAAAAAATGGCATGCTTGCTTTGCAGATGTGGCTTCCAGACAAGTTCTTCAGCCCTTTCCAACTGGATTGCTCCTTAAACCTGTCTGAAATAGAAATTCTGGAGTTACCCCAGCTTCGCAACGAGTATACACTGAAAATGCACTCCAGCGCTAAAGGGTCATATAATCAAACCATCTCTTTATCCATCTCTTTATTCATAAATGATGCCGAACTTACACTGAGCCAAGAAGAAGGGTAGATTTCGTCCTACTTCTTTGTGTGAATTTCTGGAAGTATCCTGCCACCTTTTTGTCCATTGAGGAGAAACCATCCTTCTCTGGAAGCTGATGCAGCCTCCTCCTGGGCCTATTCCCACCCTTTAGCTTCAAGAATTGACTCTACAGCAACTTAGCCAAATTGATTTAAAACCTGTCCAATATGGACTCCTGGAGTCGATCTTTCTTGTTTGGTGTTCTATCCTTGGATCATTAAAGACTGTGACTGTGAAGAGCTTTTCACGTGTTGAGAATTTGACTAAGTAAATTAACACTACATGAGGAAATGTACCATTAGATAAAGGAAAACGTGTCGGTGAACGAGGGAGGAATCTGCCCTGAAAATTGGAGTCCAGAGAGACCGAAGTGGGTGTGTTTGCAGCACTATATAAAGGAGAGGCACTGTGCAGGGATCATAGTGCTTTGAATACGAGAGAGTCTCCCTGTGGTACAGAGGGGCAATTCCATTGGGCCATTCCAAAGCCATTCTGCTTCTCTCTTCTGATTTTGAGCTCACCAAGGAGGATTCTGATCAATAACTCAGCTACCTTTCCTAAGCACGCTGACATTGGAAAGGGGATCCACTGGATAGGGAGCATGTGAATTCCAAGCTCTAGAATGGGAATTTCTGAATTCCTCCATTATAAATTAGTAAATTAATGTACTCACTTATTGGCCAATTGTATGTTAATTTGGTTGGAGTAAGGTCATTGCTAAGAAGATTCTGACTTGTAAGTCACCGGATCAGCCTCTGGAGCTTGTTGCCTTGAGGTACTTGAGAACATCTTTCCTGTGACCTCCCCCTATAACATCTTTCCCAGTGCCTCCCCAGATTCAGGCACAGTCCCCATCACTTTTCACCCAAGGATGAGACCATCCATCAGACTGGGTGCTAGTTAAGTTATGGGTTTTAAAGATTTTATGTCTTTCTCCTCCTTACCACCTTATGATAGATAATAATTTATTAAAAGGAATTGGGGTAGAGGGAGCTGGATTATGCAATTTAACAGAATCATTGAGAAACAAAAGGAGCACTGCAGACCCTCCTAAATCATTATTGGGTATTTGCTCTGATTCGCTGGTGGGGACTTGCCTCTCTGACCAATGAGCACTCCTCCATGATGCTCCCCGCAAAAGGGGGAGAAAGAAAGAGAGAAACCCACCATTAAAGTCAGGCTAACCTCCTCTTTGAATAACTCTGACCCGGATGAGGGAAAAACCCAGAAGGAAAAAATTTGAAAAGTTTACTTCAGGTTGAGAATTTCTAATTCCACCACTTTTGTGTGTGTGTTGTTGTTTGATAGACATGACAGCATCTCCTCATTATTATGGAAAATATAGGGTTGGTGTTAATTACTATCTGAATATGAATGGGAGCAGAAGTGGGCATAGCCTGCACTGGCCTTTCTTTGACAAGGTATAACTTTCTTCTGAATTTCTGTGTTAATTAATGCTTATTTAAAAACCACTTTAATTGGTAGTAAACACCTCAACTTTTTGTACTCATTAAAATGCAGCCATTGATGTGTGATGGATTTTTTTAAGGCTTAATTAACTTTCCTTCTGTATATATAACCTATAATAATGACAAACATATTGGGAAAAAATTACCCCTGCTTTTTCCCCCTCTCTCCCTACCCCCATTATAAAGACATTTTTAGCTATGGATGTCTCAGTTTGTTAGGATCAGATGCCATTAATTTGGCATTTTGGAGAAGAGTAGATGGCGGGAAATCAAAGCTTTTTGAGACACTGGTCATTTCTAAACCAAATATTCATATTTCTGAGGGAGAAATAGTCTAATTTTTTTAAGTGAAAAGTTTAAAGAAACTAATACCCCAGATGACCCAAGACTTGACTATCTTTGTGGAAAATGTAAAATTCTTAAGATGTTCTTGGAAATGTTTTCTTGGAGTGGTTGTAATTGTGTAGACACCAAGTAATGCATCTCTCCCCTCTTCCATTAGGAGATAGAGTTAATATTAAGATAATATAACTACCTTAGAGAAAATTTGGAAAATAGAACAATTCTTAATAGATTCACTACCCTTACACAACAGTTTTTAATTTTTCATAATTTCCTTGCATTCTTTGCCCACAGTGGGTACAAAATTGTTAAACAGTAAAACCATAGTCAGCAGGTGTGGAAGGAAATCAGCAAGAGCACTGTTAGGAGGAGGAATTGGAGGAATGAGGAGGAATTGACCTTGTGGTTTAACAGCCATTGGGTAGGAGATTGGGTTTAATCAAGAGCAGTGGGAGCTATAGCTGCAGGGGCCAAGTCATACAAGGGCCACAGTGGGGAATTTTCAGTCATTTAAGAGTACAGTCCCTCCTCTTGGTCATCAGGGAGACCAAGTCCCATCATCTGGCCAGATTCTGATTGTTCCCTCCTTCAAATTATATAACTTGCGTCGATTGCAGTCTCAGACTCACTGGTGAGGACTACTATGAGAGTTTCTTGTGAGTTTTCCCTTTGTAGTTGAATTTCAATCATTTTTTGAACAATTGGCTAACTAGAAGCATTTAAGACTCTGGAGAGAATCAGTGAATGACTGTAGAGACAACATGTATTAAAAGAAGTATCAGAAGGCCTTGGTACCTTGGTAATGCTTATTAGTCCAGATCCTGCCCCACCTAGGATCAGCCAGGAGAACAGTTCCATCCTCAACCCAAGGAAAAGGGAGGTTTGATATCAGTAAATTCGCCCAGCATTTTGTTCATCCTCTTGATTTACCAAGGTTTAATCTCTGGCATCTGAAATAACATTATTAGTGGAAGGAATTTTAAGAATCTCATCTCGACAAAGTTTTAAACAAACAGAAGAGAAAAGATAGTTATGAAAAGAAGGAGAAAAAAGGGACAGATAAGGGGATGATAGTCAGTGGCTTCCTGTGGTCTGGGGTCTTGATAGTAGATCATGGGTCAAAGCTGCCCATGTCTAGCTGTGTGCTGTTTGATCAAGATTCTCAGGAAAGCTGTCTCCTTGTGATGCCATTTGCTTCAGAAGAATCCTGAGGTCATCTCAGTTTTAGATCTCCTATCAATATGGTAGTCTAGGATGTAGGTATATATATCTTGGGAATCATGAATCAAAACGGGGGTGATTCCTTGGAGTTTCATTGCAGTGTTTATATTTAATGGTACCTGGTAAGATTCCTTCCAAGAAGTACACTGTCTTTAAAACCACCAACACAGAAAGGTGGATAAGGCAATTGTGATATCCTTACATGGAGATCAGAGTAATCCTGGAAGGTGAGGTCTGAAAATGGCTTCTTGGACTAGGTGTTTGACCACTCAATTTTGATATGAAAGATCTCAGGGAAAGCTGCTAAGAGATCTTGTCTTATATTTATGCTCTTTTTCTATCTGTCCATTGTCAAACTTTGATCTATATATGACATCATTTTGATAATCAAATAAATTGATAGAGTCTAAGGAGTCCCAGGATACATGTTCCTAGGACAATCCTTAATTCTTCAGTGAACGTTTTTCTTCTAGGAGTTGGGAAGTCCTTAACTAAATTATGCAAATTTAATATTGACCAAGGAGTAGAGTTATAAGTCCATTGAATGTGGGGATGTTTTTCATCCCCACCAGTGCTTAAAAACCATTGTGAAGCAATATTGTCCAATGAGGAAGGATGTGTTGAAGAAAGGGGCAGTGGAGCTGAAGAAAGGGGGTCTGGGGAAGGTGCAGAAGGAGGAGCAGAGCAAGAGTGAGGAGGAAGTTAAGGTTCAGGGAAGCACAGGGAGGTCAGTATGCAATCAATTGTGTTAGGAGAGCAAGAAGGGAGTTTAAGTTTGGAGTTCAGATCATCCAGGGACTTACTAACCTTTTCTAAGGAGTCCTTAAAGAAGTAATTTTAGAATTTTCCTTTCTTACATAGGCCTCTTTATACCAAGAAAAAATACTGACCATGAAATATTTGAACTTTTTGAACCCTTTGATTCTAAAGTGGATTATTTTACTCATAATCCAAATTTACTAGAGTGGTCCCTGAAATTCTAAACTGTTCTTGATAAGATTGCTTCAGAGCTTCAAATAGTTGGTGTTGCTGGTATTCTTATCTGTACACGTAAGAAGCTGGACAAAGACCTGAAAGTTCATTGAATGGCTGGGGATTTCTTCAAAATCTTAGTGCTCCATATCCATCTTGTTGTTGAGAGCCCCGAGTTGTCAAGTAAATCCAACATAAGGTTTCATCGAGGACAATGAAGAGGGAAGAGCAAAGGCTTAGGTTGTGCTTCAACATAAAGAGAGCCAAGTACTAGATACTAGGCAGGGGCAGGACTTAGCTGTCTAGGCCCTGGGCCTCCCAGGAGAGGGGTGGGGGGAAGAGGCGGGTCTCCTTGCATTGTCTATCCTTACCGGGAGTGACTTGGGCTGAGCAGCATTGCGTACAGGCAATGATTAGAGCCTTGGCGTCAAAAACAACAGGTGATAATCAACCAGAGTGCCATTAGCATAAGCCTTTGTTTGAGTGCTACAGTATGAGGAGATTTTGAAGGAGTGTCCTGCCTTGGAGAAGAGTAGTATTTCTGTAGAGCTTTAGTAAGAATCTGCTAAAACTCAGCTAGTTTGGAGAATAGTTGGTCAGAGATGGTTCTTAAGGGGCAGGATTAGACTTGTGGTTTAGCAGCCACTGGTTGGGCAATTCAAGTTTATCAAAAGGGATGGAGAAAATACTGAAAATGTTTTAGTTTTTTAGGATCTTTTATACAAGAGTGCTATATTGACAAGTCATTCTAGTGTGATGGGAGAAGTGAGTAAAAGGGGAAGAATCTTCCCAGGGCCTTCTGCTCAGCAGTTGTTTTCTTTACCAAAGCAGGGGAAATTGTTGCTTCTTCCTCATAGACACGTCACCCGCATCTCCACCCTACTTGTCCCACAATCTACCAAAGCAGCAGGAGAAAAGGAGTTCTAGTTAAGCAGCAGTAGATAGCAGTAACATGCAAAGTTCCAACGAAGATGTTATGGGACTGAATGTTGGTGTCCCTCCAAAATTCCTATGTTGAAATCCTAACAGCCACTGTGATGGTATTAGGGGTATGGCCTTTGGGAGGTTATTAGGTTATGAGGGTGGAGCCTTCATGATGGGATTAGTGCTATTGTTAGAAGAGGCTCAGAGAGGTGCCTCTCTTGGCTCTTTGCCAGGTGAAGATACAAAGAGGAGGCATCTGCTGACTAGAAAGTAGGCCCTCATCAGATCTGGCAGTAACTTGATCTTGGAACTTCCAGCTTCCAGAACTATGAGAAATAAAGGTATGTTGTTTCAGTCACCCAGTCTATGATAATTTGTTATAGCAGTCTGAGGTGGCTAAGACACTGACATTGGACAGGACTTCAGGTCTCCAGAATTCCATAGTACTGATCAGGAACAGAGCGAGCCTGAGCTCTTGCAGTCACCTGACTGAACTCACACAGACTGATAATGCAGCTTCATTTTAAATGATCCCCCAAAACACGAGTCTCCACTGTTTGACCCTACCCTGGGAGCCTTGTGGAATTTACTCGTGTAGTGTAACATCCAGACAGGAGTCGGCCTTGTTCAGGAACCAGCATGTGAAAGGACAGTTTATGGCTCCCATGGCCTCTGCACTTGGAATACAAGAATCTTGACACGCGGTATCCCTTGTGCCTGTCCAGTCCAGATACCTCTGCTTACAATATCTAAAACAGCCTCTTTAGCTGAGGACTTTATGACATCAAAGAGAAATATTAACTGAGAAGACCTGAGCCCACATTATGGAATGAAGTGCATACATTTAATGAATAGGTAATGTAAGCATAAATGTGCATACCTAGAAATAACTACATGTGATTTGGCTTTGATGTTAATTTCCCATCCTTCATCTGGTTTTACTGCTTCTTTCTCTGGGTTTTCATTTTCTACTGATCTTCTCTGAGCATTCCAGTCCCTGTCCCTAGCTGAGCCTCCCTGACAGGCTGCCTCAGGGTGAGCTCCAACCCAGGAAGATTCTCAGCCTGGGAGCAAGAGCTCAGCTGTCCTGAAACACCTTCACCATCATCCTGGGAATCCTTCTCAAGTCTCTCCTGTGTTAGATTTCCAAGTTCCTGAATCCTACATCTTCATCTTTCTTGTTCTAGTAACTTTCAGAGTAAGGGTGCAGAGGAGATCCTTTTTTTTTTTTTTTAGTGTTTTGCCTGAGAATACATAATTCCTTCCTATTGGATAGTTTGGCTAGGTATAGAGTTTAAGCTGGAGGCATTCATTCAGAATTTTAAAAGGTGGTTCTCCTGCATTGTATTCCTGTTTCTGACCCTTTGGGCAACGCTTTTTTCTTCTTTGAAAGCTTTTAAGGTCTTTTTTTTTTAAGATTTTATTTATTTGAGAGAGTGAGAGAGATCACGAGCAGGGGGGAAGGGTAGAGGGAGAAGCAGACTCCCCACTGAGTGGGGAGCCGGATGTGGGACTCTATCCCAGAACCCTGGGATCATGACTTGAGCTGAAGGCAGATGTTTAACTGACTGAGCCACCCAGGCACCCCAACTTTTAAGATC